GTTCCGATCCAACTTTACCTCCAGGAGCTTTTGTGAAACAAGACCTTTACCGATGCAGATGGCGTCAGGTTTAATATCTGGCTGATGTCTTCTGGGCCAGATGGATCAAAGAGTATTTGCCTGCTTTACAGCAACGTCGGAAATGGCACCAACCAAAGAGGAACCTTAAGGTTGGAGATCTTGTGCTTATCTTGCATGAACACACACCACAAAATCACTGGCCTTTAAGACTGCTCACTCAAGTTTGTCCAGGCGCGGATGGACTTGTGCGTACTGTGGAAGTAAAAAACACGAGCAGGAATCTTCACTCGTCCAGTGGACAAAATCTTCTGCAAAGTCTTCAAAATCTTCTTCAAAGTCTTCTGGAGGCCAATCTTTTCAACAATGACAGTTAAGTTTAGGACACAACCCTTTTCTTTGTTCTTAAATGACCCTTAAAAGGGTCACTGAGGCTAGGGATGTTGGGTTCTGTCCTCTTTAAGAGAAAGCCATGCGGGAGATCGCATTGGACTCTGGGATAAAAAAACAACACAAGCAAAAAAGTACACAATGCTCAGCGAGTGACTCATGTTGTTGTGTGCAGATAACCTGTAAACCTGTTCAAAAACTGATATTTTCCTGGTCCCAGTGTGGTAAGAGAGTTTAATCTTTGTTTTGGTATCACCGTTGTGAAGTTTGAATAGTCTGTATGAGATCGCCAAGTAAAGTTAGCGCCTAACTATTCTAGAAGCTCATATGCTCTGAATATGGTGATGTTTAGTTATTATACTGAAATGTTGATTACACTGGGATGTGTTAGCTATCAGGTGAAATAGCTTTGATTAATTAGTAATACTTTATTTGTTTCTTTTTTATGTTTGCAGTTTGACCACACACACATGCACAAACTCAAGATATCTAAAAACAACTACAAATTACAACAACCAAATGTTGTGAGTTCTACATCTGGGAATAAAGAAAATAACAAACTCCATGTTAATGTTATCTTTATTGGTAACGCACTAATTTTGACAGCACTAATATACGAATAAACTGTTGACGTGAATAAAACCACTGATCCAATCAAGCTATGTATGTCGATATTAGTTTTATATCTTCTAAATGCTAATTTTGTCAATTTTGGAGCACACTAGCTTATATATATCTTAATAATGAACAATATTGATATTAACATCTAAAAAACTTAATTTCATGGGACCTTTAAGCATGCACTGGGAAGAGCTGGAGGGTAGATACAAAAATATTACTTGTATAATCCTAACTCTAATATATAGAGTTGAAGTCAGAATTATTAAACACCCTGAATTATTCAAAGGGAGGTTAATAAATCTGATTTAAACTATATATTTACACTTTTTAATTTTCATTATTTGTAAATAATTTGTTAACATTGTTGCTTGTGTGTGTTTTAAAACATTAAAATACTATTTTGATTAGTATACAATTTAGATTTTTTTGCACAAAAAAATAAACACTGCAGTGAAAAGGTGCAATCCAGAGAAATGCTACAGAGAGAAATAGATGCAGCAATGACAGAGCATCTTAGACATATATTTAGTATCTATCTATCTATCTATCTATCTATCTATCTATCTATCTATCTATCTATCTATCCATCCATCCATCCATCCATCCATCCATCCATCCATCCATCCATCCATCCATCCATCCATCCATCCATCCATCCATCCATCCATCCATCCATCCATCCATCATGTATTTTTTCACTGCTTTGCTGTGTGTTTGTTTATTAAAATACTGTTTGTTTGTTAGAATATTCTTTGGATGTGTTTTTTAATTTAAATTTTTTTTTACAGTGAACAAATGTGTCATTGTTAGAATTACACATGATTATACTGTTATAAAGACATTTAGGTATGACTGGACTGAATTTGTCCCTTTTAAGAACCTTAACTATTTGCATATTACAACTAAATATGCATGTTTTGGGTGAATCTTACACCTGAATTAAGCAGAGACACATATTAATGTCTAAAAGATAATGGGCTCTATTTTGATGGTGCATGCGCAGAGCGCAAAACGCAGGGCGCAAACGCTTTCAGGGCGTGTCAGAATGCATTTTTGCTATTTAAAGGATAGGAAAATCCGCTTTGCGCCATGGCGCATGCTCTAAAAGGGCTGAGTTTATTTTCTTAATGAGTTATAGGTGTGTTTTGAGAATAAACCAATCAGTGTCTCATCTCCCATTCCCTTTAAGAGCCAGTTGCGTCTAATAAATAATTAATTTTGTTTGTCAAGCACAAATATTTGTTTCAAAACTATTTCTAAATTCAGTTGTAATTTCCAGCAAATGAATAAATGATCTATAATAACGAAGTATGTTCAAAAACCGAACCGAGTTATATCCAAATACACATGCTGTGCCCCATTTGACCTAAAACCTGACAGGTGGACAAATCTAAGCTTGTTTAATAAATAATAAATTATTGTTTAATAATTTTAATAAAACAAATATAAATATGGATATAATAAATAATACTGCTAATAATAATAAAATTATAAATATAGCAAATTGAATGTACTGAAAGAGCCTCCCAAGATAAGGAAAGTATGAAGGCCGTGGTTTTTAAATTCATGTTGGCTAGAAATTAATGTTTTGTAATATTTGAATCATTTATATCCTATATATATATATATATATATATATATATATATATATATATATATATATATATATATATATATATATATATATATATATATATATCCTTATTATCCTATATATACCCTTAATATTTTATATCTTTTTCATATATAAAGATATTTGCGTATTGCTCTACATATTTTGTGTATTAAACAGTGTGTAAGCGAGGCGCACTCTGCACCAGACAATAGACCGACTTTGTTATGGTCTAAAGAACAGACTATTTACAGTTTCTCAAAATAGTAACCCGCTAAAACACGCCTGCTATTTTAGACCAGAAAGCCTATGTGCGCACATATGAACGCAAATGCATTTGCTATTTAAACAGCGTGGCGCAACACCTCAAAATGACCCTTGCGCCGAGCTGAAAATAGAAGATAACAATTGCGTTGCGTTGCGCTGCATTGTGACGGGTGTATGATAGGGCCCAACATATTTAAAAATGCATGGACCAGGCAGGAAAGACAGGTGATTCTTAGCCAGATGACATTAAAGAGCCCATATTATACATGAAATAAGGTCATATCTTGGTTGTAAGGGTCTCCAACAACAGTCTAATATGCATGCAAGGTCAAAAAACACTTTCATGGTCTTACAATCTGCATTTATTTTTATCTAATTATCCCAGCGACTCCTGTATGAATCGTCCAGTGATTCATTTGTTCCCAAACCCCTCCTTAGCGCGGAGCTAATCTGCGCTGATTGGACCAATGACAGTCTGTCGACTGCCTTCAGTCAGAGAGGGAAATGGCCAATAGCTAATCAGCAATTTAAAAAGTAATCACAGTTCATACACGCTCGATAGTGTAGGCGTGGACTTTAGCTGCCACACTATGGCGAGTGGATAGTGCCACGGATAACCGAACGAAGGAGACAGTCGTGTACTCGCCATACCACACACACACAAAAACACACACACACCTCCGGATGACAACGCTCCCGCTTCAGCCCGCACCCGCCAGGTTTTAGCCTGAGAACCCGCTCCGTTTTCTGCCCGCCGCGCCCGGTCCCGCTAGAGCGGAGAACACAACCAAATATCACCCAGTATACAGTCCAGACAGCCAAGCTGTCTGTACACACACAGCACAAAGTACACAAAGCTCGTTCGTTCGTTCGCTCTCTCTCTCGCTCTCTCTCTCTCTCCCCGCGCCAGATTTCTGCGGCGCGGGAATAAATTTCCGAATAAATCGCGGGAGCAGAACTCTAGCATGGAGCTCCATAAACAAACAGCACGCGTCGCGTTTTTAACGTGACTTTGCACGCGATAAGAGAATATAGCCAGTTAACCTGATACAGTACACGCGGTTACAAGTAACAAATCACAACTAAATACATTTGCAAGCTAGAGTAAACGAGGCAACAACTTTAACCGCACGTACTTACACTTGAGAAATGTAGGAAGAAACCCATCCTGACGTCCATCAGTTACTCTTTACTGATCCTTCCTTTAACAAACTCAGATGAAGTATTCTTTGTAGCATGTAGCTTCCAGAAGTTTCCAACTGCTTGGTTATAATGCTGATGTTTCATCTTTGGGTAGAGACTCAATATATCCATCTGCAGTGTGACTTCAATCGACCGGCATGTTTGTGTGCGTGTGTTTGTGGGTGTGCGTGTGTTTGTGGGTGTGTGTGTGTGTGTGTCTGGGTTACTGCGTCAGAGGGCGGGGCCTCAGGTTTGAAATCTCCCGGGTTTGCGCGTGCACGTGAAAAACTTTGTTTCGTTCGTACGTCATGGCGAAACACCTAATGAGTCGGTATCAAGGCGACTCGTTTGAAGCACTATGATTCGACTCTTTTATAGATGAATCAACAGTTTTAAACACTGTATTCTTACAGATTTAAGCCTTAGCTGGATACTTCACTTCATTTAGAGCTGTGTTACACACTACATGGAGGGGAATTTTCAAAAACCCATAATATGGGCTCTTTAAAGACATTGATTGGATTTTCGTTTTGGACAATTTTTCAACCGTAACAACGAATGAATCTCTTTTCAATGGTAATTGGATGTCCAAAATGTTTGCTAGGATAGTTTTGTGCATCATGCAACACCCAGAGGCTCTTACACAAGACACCACACCACCTTTTGTTGACATTAGCAAAGATCAGTGCACAGAGCTTTTCAGGTTACAAGGTGACCTCTGTGAGTTGATGCCGGAGACCGTGACATCAAAAACGTGAGGTTTTTTGTTCTTTAATGAAGATTAGCATCAATGTTCATGCAGAGCATTATGGTCAACTTTCACATGAATGAATTAAAAATGATATACAATTTTAATTATAAGCAGTTGTAACCTGCGTTAAATGTGTCTCACTCTCTAGGTTTTACTCACCCCAGTATAACTCCTATGATCGTACCAGACAGCAGCCCTCTTAGTCCAAGATTTAGTCTGAACACTCCTCCTGTGACAGCTAAAAACAGTATGAATATTGTCATTCTTTCCTGTGGTCTTCAAATGTTGGACAATATGCAATAAAATCCCATGACTCAATATTAACTCAAGCGTATATCAAAGTAGCATGACCCAGAGACAGAGAATGAAAAAAATATTAAACTTACCACCTGAAACTGCGAAATGGCTGAGGGCATTTTGGTCTCTGTATACTGTCAAGCCAGTATTTACAGTGCTGAGAAAGTAGGAGAGAAAATGGGGGAGTAGATTGTAATAACTAAGTTATAATTCATAGTTGATAAAACTTAACGTTATAAGCAGTAGACAAATATTAGTAGTCACAAATATTTTAAATAATTATATCATAATCTTAACTTGATATATTGACAAACTAACAGGAAATACTTTGCAGAGACAATTTATTAATTTGTGGCAAGATAAGGTAGCAAAAAAGTATATCATGAGTTGATCCTTCTAGAAAGCCAAAACAATCACTTGCATTTAAAAGGCACCAATGATGCAAAATCAACTTTGGAAGCTGTTTGGAGAAAAAGGTGTAGGTATTGTGTGTCTATAGTCGTATTACAATGATATAAACACAAGTCTCTGTTTTATTTCCTAACAATAAAATATGATCCAAATCCCAGTAATTTTGAAGCCCACTGCATAGGGCAAAGGAGTGTGGTTTTCCCTCTCAACAAATTGACTTAACAAAAGCTTATTCAAATGTCTCCATAGTAACATACATAAATATGTCCAAAGAAAAATATTCAAATTGGGATTAAAAGATCTGTTCCAGCTGTGCATGACCAGCCGCACCTCAAGAATGAGTTGTACAAGTTTAAAACATTTCTAAAACAGTAATGTTTTTAACAAATAAAAGACAGTAAAATCATCATTTGAAATTCAAAACTGCGGGAATCAACACAGCTGCATAGTGTTAGTACAACTATTTAGGGGGATGCGCAACCAGACAAAAAAAACAAATACAACCTTTGATCCTATAAATTCACATATTTGGCAGGGTTTAATTAATGTTCCAATGGGTATTTTTGAGCTAGAAATTTACAGACACATTCAGAAGACACAACATACTTATTTTCTGAATAAGTGGGATAACAGCTTGTTGTGTGTTAAAGGGATTTAAATGCACAACGTGGAGACGAAGGACCACACGATGTACAGCAGCGTCAAGAGTAAGTTTTGACATATTCGATTTTCTATTGCCTCCACTGAATCAGCAGTAACAGGCAGAAAGACGGAGACGTCATTTGCATGTGTTTAGTTAAAGCACTGTTCATACCTGATATTAAGATGCAATTTCATCAATTCCATCACAGGTGGACAAATTAGACATTCCCAGTCACACCTAGAGTTTTGTGTTTTGTCTATTTTCTACTACTTATCTGATGAGGGACAACCTGTACATATATTGCCTTTCTCTTAACAATACTGATACCTTTAATACTGCCATTGCTGGGCTACCACAACCTCTTCACAATTTACATTTTATATTAAACATACAAATCTTATTAAAAGTATCATATCAATTAAATATGTTACTTTATGCATTAAGAGATAATTTATTTTATTTCCTATCAACTTTAAGCCCTTACACTTTATTCTGTTTAGTTTTAACACACTGTTTTTATAAAAATCAGTTTAACAATTGTTGTAACCAATTTAAAAAGCCCCTATTATGGGTTTTTGAAAATGACCTTCCATGCAGTGTGTAACACAGCTCTAAGAGAAGTGAAATATCTAGCTAAGGCTTAAATCTAAAATTGCACTTTTTAAAACTTTTGACATCTTTAAGAGTCAACTTAGTGGTTTGAATGAATCGCCGCTGTAACTAAGTCTTTAGCGAACTCAAACCCCACCCATTTGTTGCTCACACAGTCCTGGGAAAAGTGAACCCCCCGGCCCCACCCAAAAACACTGTAAAAAGAGAGAGGAAGACAAACATTGTAGTGCATCCCGGCTGAATCATGTTGCTATGATGCGCGAGGGAAAGTTAGTGTTACTTTTCCTACCCAAAGATGAGGCTATGAAGAGTCTGTGATTGAAGTTTATTTTTGCAAAAACACCTCAGCATTACAGCCCCAGACTTGTGATGTGTTCCCATCATTTTTCTGAAGTGCATTTACATTGTAATACTATACACATATAATAACAAGCCATGGTGTGTGTGCAAAGTTTTGTGAGTTTTCAAGCATGTTTAGACACCCAAAAACGTAGTTCATTCTAAAAAAAGAAGAGGAGGAACAATTTCAATAGGGCCCACAAATCACAGGGTCTAGATCCCAAATAATGAATGGAGCAATTCCAATAGGGCCTACGCACAATAGGTGCTCGGTGGCCTTAGGATGATAGAGAACAGTGGATAAAAATAATTACATGTGTGTGTATATATATATATAGATTTATACACACACACACACACACATTATATATATATATATATATATATATATATATATATATATATATATATATATATATATATATATATATATATTAGCACTGTCAAAATTAACGCGTTAACGCATGCGATTAATTTTAAATAATTAACGCGTTAAAAAAAAATTTTTACGCAATTAACGCAGTTGCAGGTTTTTTTTACTTCCTGTTGTGGTGGACGTGTGTTCAACATGCAATAAATGTGGATAAGACCAAGGAAGCACTTTTTGAAGGGAAGTTTCAGTATAAAACAATTAGTCGCATCACCAGGCTCTCCAAAGTTTCATGCAATTTCGGGTGTTTAATTTTTAACTTTCGACTTCAGTTGTAAGTTGATACCGCATGGCGAACAGAAAGAAAATCCTCCACATTTCGTGACTCGGTGTTCCTTTAAGGTGAGGTTCCTTTTAAGGCCACACGGTAGGATTTTAATAAGAGTATTATCTTAATCATATTAAAATCGGAGTATTGGTGTCTTATGTGAATGTACTCAGAACGTCTCTGGTGAAGTCGCGAGCTGTCAAAAACAGGGCATTACTCTGCCTTTCAGCATGAGCCCTCCAAGTTTAGCGTGTCTCCTCATTAAACGCAACGAAATCGTATGCTTCGCGTTGTTGTGTCAGAATCCTTGTGAAATACAGTAATACTTTAGGACGCTTAGTTTAAGCAAATTTGATGAACGTGATCCTGCGTGTTGAATCTGAGGGGAGTCGCTCCAGTATGGAAGGCCGTTGGGGCCAAAACGTCTGCAGGGCATTGTGTGTCTGTGTGTGTGTCTGTGTCAGGGGTGGAGTGAGCGGCGTATCTGAGTAAAGCCTGGTTTATACTTCTGCGTCAAGTGACCGGCGTAACTCACGGCGCAGGCAACGCGCGCAGCTGTGCATTTATACTTCTGCGCGCTGTCTCTGTTGGTCTGCATTAACACTTCCGAAACGCTAGTTGGCAGTGAGGTGTAAATGTTCCTCTGTGTCGAGTTTCTTCGCTTCTGTTTTGCTTTTCCTGAATACTTCCTGGATGTAGAAGTGACTCAAAACTCGCTCATTTTGAGGCAGGAACCGGCGGACATGCAACAACTTTAACCATGAGGTAAACACAGAACAAAACTTTCCATCCGGAGCTCCTTCACATTTACATTTAGTCATTTAGCAGACGCTTTTATCCAAAGCGACTTACAAATGAGGACAAGGAAGCAATTTTCACAACTAAAAGCAACAATGAATAAGTGCTATAGGCAAGTTTCAGGTCTGTAAAGTCTAAGAAGGGAAGTATTAGTAGTATTATTTTTAGTAGTATTATTAATAGTAGTATTTTTTTTTTTTTTTTTGGTACAGTTAGTGTGATATTCAGAGAGGCAATTGCAGATTAGGAACTGTAGTGGAGAGTAAATAGTTGAGTTTTTAGTCGTTTCTTGAAAGTAGCGAGTGACTCTGCTGTTCTGATGCAGTTAGGGAGTTCATTCCACCAACTGGGCAGATTGAGCGTGAGCGTTCACGAAAGTGATTTCTTCCCTCTTTGGGATGGAACCACGAGGCGACGTTCATTCACAGAACGCAAGTTTCTGGAGGGCACATAGATCTGGAGAAGTGAGAGCAGATAAGAAGGAGCAAGGCCAGAAGTCACTTTGTAGGCAAACATCAGAGCTTTGAATTTGATGCGAGCAGCAACTGGCAGCCAGTGCAAACGGACTAGCAGTGGAGTGACATGTGCTCGTTTAGGTTCATTGAAGACCACTCGTGCTGCTGCGTTCTGGAGCAGTTGAAGAGGCTTGATAGAGTTAGCTGGAAGCCCAGCTAGTAGAGAGATGCAGTAATCCAGTTTGGAGAGAACAAGAGCTTGAACAAGGAGTTGAGCTGCATGTTCAGATAAGAAGGGTCGGATCTTTCTGATGTTATAGAGTGCGAATCTGCACGATCGAGCAGTTCTAGAAATGTGGTCAGAGAAGTTTAGTTGGTCATCAATCGTCACTCCAAGGCTTTTCACCATTTGGATGCAGTAATGGTTGCCCCATCCATCTGGATTGAAAAGTTATGGTGTAGAGTCGAGTTGGCAGAAACTACAAGCATTTCCGTTTTTGCGAGGTTCAGCTGGAGATGATGATCTTTCATCCAGTGTGAAATATCCAACAGGCAGGCTGAGATGCGAGCTGGAACCGAGGGATCATCAGGATAAAAAGAGAGGTATAGCTGGGTATCATCAGCATAGCAGTGGTAGGAGAATCCATGTCTCAGGATGACTGGTCCTTGAAATGATGTGTAGATGGAGAAGAGAGGTGGCCCAAGAACAGAGTGTTGAGGTACCCCAGTGTTTAGATGCTGTAGGTTGGACACCTCTCCCCTCCAAGACACCCTGAATGACCTGTCAGTGAGGTAAGATCTGAACCATTGTATAACAGTGCCCGCAACGCCCAGTGACTCGAGCGTAGATAGCAGGATCTGGTGGTTGACAGTGTCAAAAGCAGCTGACAAGTTCAGCAAAATGAGGACTGATGATTTAGAGTCTGCTTTAGCCAGTCTGAGATCCTCCACGACCGAGAGCAGGGCAGTCTCAGTTGAGTGGCCTTTCTTAAAGCCGGGTTGCTTGATGTCCATGAGATTGTTAAGAGTAAGAAAGTCCAGGACTTGATTGAACACTACTTTCTCCAGAATCTTGGCCATGAATGGAAGCAGGGATACTGGTCTGTAGTTTTCAAGTAGCGTATGGTCCAGGTTGGGTTTCTTTAGCAGTGGGGTTATCCCAGCCTGCTTAAATGAAGTGGGGAATAAACCAGAGTCAAGAGATGTGTTAATTATGTGAGTCAGTGTTGGTATGACTGCAGGAGAGATGGCTTGCAAGAGATGAGAGGGAATGGGATCGAGTGGACAGGTGGTTGCATGGCTAGATAGCACGAGTTTGGACACCTCAGACTCAGAGAGCTGAGAAAAAGAGGTGAGTGTGTGTGGTGTTGGTGGTGTACCTTGCGTGTTTGTTGTAGGTGCAGCAAATTGAGCTCTGATTTTTGCAGTTTTGGTGCAAAAGAATGTAGCAAAGTCATCAGTAGTAAGTGTGGAGGATGCAGGTGGAGGAGGAGGATAGAGGAGGGAGGAAAATGTTTTAAAAAGTAGGCGAGGATTAGTGGCATTGTTGATTTTCAGACGGTAATATGTCTGCTTTGCAGAAGTAACCTCAGCTGAGAAAGAGGACAGAAGAGTTTGGTATGTTAAGAGCTGTGCAGGATTTTTAGTTTTCCGCCAAATTCTCTCTGCAGCCCAAAGTTTTGAGCGATGCTCGCGGAGAGCATCCGAGAGCCAGGGTGCAGGAGGACTAGCACGGGCTGGCCTGGATGCAAGCGGACATAATCGGTCTAGACATGATGCTAGCGTGGAGCAGAGTGTATCAGTGGCACTGTTCGAATCAAGTGCAGAGAGTTTGCAAGATGGAGGAAGAGAGTCTGAAACAATGGTGGATAGTCTATTGGGTGAGAGAGATCGTAGGTTTCTGCGAAAGGTAACCAGTGTTGGAGTGTGTGGCGGCTCAGGAGTAATGTGGATGTTGAGAGACAGAAGGAAATGATCGGATATTTGTAGTGGAGTTACTATTGTTTGATCAGTAAAGCAGTGTCGTGTGTAAATAAGGTCTAGCTGATTACCTGATTTGTGGGTAGCAGAGGTAGGTGCTCTTTTTAGGTCAAAAGAGGCAAGCAGAGTCTGAAAGTCTGCAGCTTGCGGTTTGTCAACGTAAATGTTGAAGTCACCTAGCACCAACAAGGGAGTGTCAAAATTAGAAAAAGATGAGAAGAACATCCAGTTCATCTATGAAGTGACCTAATTTATAATTCACGGGACTCCATACTTGTAAACAATCGCTCACGCCATTCGCGCGGCTCTCGGGCCCGCCCAGACTCATCAGCGCTACAAAGCCAACCAATCACAGAGCTTGCGCTACGCGTTGTTGTGACGTGTAGTTACATTTTTTGAGAGGTGCACGTCAGCGACGCCGACGGCAAAGGGCTATGTGTCAGCGCCGTAGCATACACCGGCGTTTGACGCAGAAGTATAAATCAGCCTTAAGGGCGAGAGGGGTGTGCAAACGACCGGTTTGCGAGAAATTATCATTTATTTGCGGGTATTTGGGAGTCTCTGTGCACTTGCGGGATACTCCTAGTCTTAGCAACTGGATGAATGTAAAGGAGGATTAAGCAAAATTGTTTCTACTCTATAACTAATGTTCTCAACTCACAGCAATAAAACTTTACAATGAGTGCAACAGTTTGTATTCTATAGTTTATTATTATAATTTTTCATTTTCCATATCTGCAATTCCTGTATTTTGGCATTTTTTTGCAGTCCACTTAGAATCCAACATGGAAATCAATGTTTTCTTTATTGTTATTATTATTTAACGTATAAAAAGAATTAACGCAGTTGGCATAGTTGCAGGGGTTTTTTTTGTTTTTTTTTAAATTTCCTGTTGTGAACTCACTGTCTGTTCAAGAATCCAGTCTGATATGATTCACGCTTTATGACATGGCATTACCCTGCTAGAAAATGGGTACATTGTGGTCAAAAACAGACCCCCTAGTTTTTTGTGATTTATTTCGTGATTTTTCACGATAAAAATGACTGGTATTTGCAAATCAGGCATTTTGTGAGGTCTAAAATTACAATTTTCAAACTCTGTCCAGAAACATGTTTTATGATATCTTTATGAAGTATCTTTTTATGATATCTTTATGAACCCCCCTGATTCTAGACATCTTATTTCTAAATTTGTGTGTTTATTTGAAAGTTGTGTTACAGTATGAAATTATGAGATTGATAACCTCTATGAGATTTAAAGTTGCCTTGGAAAAAGATTTTTTTCTGCAGACACATGGGAGAATTGTTTGACTTCAATACAGTCATGCTGAGTCAACAGCAGACACCAAATGATTCAATTTAAGGTCATACCTACACTAAAGCCAAGATCCATAAAATCTTTCCTTCTGTCTCACCAGTGTGCAATAGATGAAAGACAGCAGAAGACATGGTTGCTCACGCCTTTTGGCTCGGTCCCTTACTGAACAAATTCTGGACAAATATATTTGACTGGTTCTCCAAGGTTTATAGCAGACCTTTTCTACCAGGTGCCGAACTTGCCATCTTTGGCTTCTCACAAAACACATTTCTCCCTCTAACAATGCAAGAGTCTTTAATGCAAGACATGGTGATGGCTAAAAGACTAGTGCTTAATAATAGAAAATCACCTTTACCCCCCCCCCCCCCCCCCCAATGCAAGACATGGTGATGGCAAAAAGACTAGTGCTTTATAATTGAAAATCACCTTTACCCTTTTTTTTCCTGCCTCTTTTCTTTTTTGTTTTCTTTTATATTGTCTTTTGTATGTCTACAGTATGAGCCAATGTTTTATATAAAAACCTTCAAATAAAGTGATTAAAAAAAAGAAAATGCATTAATGAAATTTTTATTGCAGTACATTTATTACTATGAACTTAAGCAACAATTTCTTTTTTCTTGCATGCGCAAGAAACTTTCATGTATCTTCTAAAAAAAACAAGACCAGAATGAGGTTTATATTCAAAACCATCCCAGAATTATATCAATTTAAAAATTTGCCATTATCTTTGCAAGCCTACATAAAAATGGGCATGACTAAACATATACATTAGTGTAAATGGCAGCCTTTTCACACTTGGCCTCAACTCATTATAAATCCTGGTTTTGATGTCCTGGGTAATTTTTTTTCACACTCCACTGATTATAATCTAACAATAAATTCTATATGTACATAATCAAGCATTTCAGACTTTGTTTCCAAACATTAGGTTAACGACTAATTTAGCTACAAAATTGCTTTGTCAGTGTACTAAACTGAAACAATATATCACAAAATAATATTTATATAAAAGGCTCTAGCACTGTACATCTTTACATTATACTTTTTATGGATTTAAAACTTGCAATATATAAACTTACTTAAACAGGGTCACAAAAGCTGCTACCCTCCAGCTCCATCTCCAGCCAAATCGCAAAAAACCACGAATAGCTGCATTATGGGCTGCACGCTGATTGGACAAAAAGAAAAGGTTATATAGTAGTCCGTTCAACCCACATTATGATACAGGCTTCTGATGTCTGTATAAATGCAAAAAACAACAACAAAAAAATAAAATAATGTTCAGGCTCTGTCCTGTAACTTACCACCGCATCCACTCTGTTTCGATAAATTTCAGCCTGGCTGCACTGGATAAACCTCTGACGAGCATGCCTGGCTCCTGGTAGGCCTCCATAGATCATCCCCACTATGGCTGAAGCAATACCACTTTTTACTACATTTCTCAACTCCTCTGTGTACTGACCTTCACTGTTTAGAGAGTAGAAATAGAAAGGCAAATGCACACATATGACTGTCTCTGATATTGAGAGTACAATAGGGTAACCAGAAGCCTGGGAAGTCCCAGGTGTTGACATCATGTCCCCAACTGCAGCTGTCCCCATCTTATACCAGATTTCATCTCACAAACAGACTGCAACAACAACAGTCTACAGGTTATTAGAGAAATTGTGTAGTTATTTCAGACAACAAATTAGGCTGTAATCACCACAATTTTAGCCATTTAAAAAAAATACTTTGTCTAGATAAAAAAAAGTTTGCCATCTTACAGATTATTTCAGGGATCAGAATTTTTTGAGTTTGTGTGTGCACTGGCAAATGGATCATTGTACTATTATATTTCACTAGAAACACTATATTTCATTTTCAATAACAATTATTTTGTAGGTCCATAGAAGCATAGATTGTTTCATTATGCATTTAAATGTAGAGGGCTTTAAACGAGATGTTTCCACCTCAGCAGGACAAAACGTCTTTTCAATATCTCCCGCAATTTGATTATCATCCGCTGCTTGCATTAGGAACAGAAAAATGTCACTAAAAACCCACAAACATAATAACATTTGAAAAATTTCTATTACTGTTTGCAATGTAATCAATCACAGCTTCTTCAAATATTTTGTTTAGAAACACTTTTCTTTTTTGCAATTATTTTGTTGCACATGTATATTTTGGCAACAGTCAAAAATAAATTTTGTGTTCAATTTATTTAATTTTATTTTTAGGATAAAAATCATTACAACAGCTGTTGCTAGACTTTGTAACTCGTTGTGGTGGGTTGGTAACTTACTAAGACACAAGATTGTTTAATGTCTTTATTGTATAAACTGTTAAATATTTGAATAAACCTACTTCACATAACAGGTCACCAAGCCCAGAGAGACTCATGCTGCGTTCACACCAGACGCAGAACCCGCGTCAAGCGCGAGTGATTTACATGTTAAGTCAATGCAAACGCGCGAATAGACATCCTGCGGCGCGAATGACGCAAATTGTGCGAATGGCGCGGGGCTAATTGAGTGTTTCGCGCGAATCTCTCGATTTCGAAAATCTTAAAGGGTCACGAAACACCAAAACACATTTTTTGAGCTGTTGACAGTCGTATATTTGTCCCACACTGCTAAAAACACTATTAGGACACCTATATTTCACTAAAAAGTGTAAATTGGTTGTTTTTGCGTTATTTCAAGCAAATTCGTACTTCCTGTTTGAAACGAATTTTTGAAGCTGCGTCACGGTCATGACATAATAGCCTGTATTCCAGCGTGCAGACTGGGCGTCTGTGCCAGAGTGAGTCTTATTACGTCTTACAGTGTGTTGCATTAATGCATGAGTAAGGCTTGGTTCAAACCAATCAGCTCGCTCTATTGTGCAACTTCATTAATATTCATTACTGTGTTTACACGACATAGACGCCACGGTGTGTTGGCAAAACAAGCGTGAAGTGTTGCTTTTATAGTTTGCTGCCATTAAGTTTCGTTTTCTTTTTCTCTCTGAGAGCTCAGACTCACGTGTGGATTAACAGTGTACGCGACGCTCGACAACAATAACTTACGTGTCTAAGGAGGATTATTGTTTACCTGAGAGCTGTTCTCATCTGCAAACGCTGAGATCGGATTCGCTTGTAGTCTTCTCTTAATAAAGACGCGGCTCTAGTTGCTGTGGATTGTCCTGTCTCTACAGATTTGGTAAGTGAGCGACTGGTGCTCTTTGTTTATTCAGTTTGTTCGTATCGAACTAAGTTAACTATTGCACCGTAACATGTTAGGACCACAACCAAACTTTAACCTCGTGTAGGGTTTTTAACCGCATTTTGTGACCGGAATAACACACGCTGCTTTCTGACGCTACCTGCCGTGTGCATCTAAGTTTCCGGAAAATGCTGAGTTTTTTTTTTCCTCTCATTCGCCATGTGGTATCAAACATTGCATGAAAAATACACGCTTAGAGCAGATCCTCGAATCAAATATCTCGTTTGTGGCGAGGGGCATGAATGAATTCCCTGAATGAAAGAGCCAAACTGCAGTTAAATTCCACCATTTAATAATTTGGCAAATAATTCGACTACAGATGTCCATGTAGGTTAAACACCATCACTTTCTCCTGTGTGTGAGTATTTTGACTGAAACTCGCGCGTGCCCAAATAGACACTCCCACACCCTCCCACTTTAGTTCCTCCGACACTCCCCCCTAAACAGAGCTGGACACGCCCACTTTTCTGACTTTTTCCAAAGTAGAGGTGTGAAAACACCCTGGTGAAACGAGGGGGTTTCATGGCCTTTAACTTCAGCGGACATTCGCACCGCGTTAACCAATCAGAAGCTTGCTCTTGCGGAGGCGTGATTGTGACGTAGAACCTAGGGAAATCCTCCAGCCTTCACCGACAACAGATCATCAAACTCGGCTTGGCTCAGTCAGAAGCACCGCTGAAAGCCTCTGTCATCCAGGTTAAGTTTCTGGAGGAGTTTATGAGCTCACAGAGCTGGATGCACATCTGATAGAATGTAGTGGACTCAGACACGACCCTAAACGTTTTGACGATGTTTTTCAGTCCTTATAAAGCACAAACACTGTTATTTTCTTCATAAAATCCATGTTAGCCATTTAGCTATGAAGCTAGAGTCTTCGGGCAGACAGAAGCCCTGCCCATCACGCAAATCCGCGTCTGTTCTGATGTGAATTTGACACGCGAATGAAGTGGGGTTTGACGCGCATATGAAGCGAGTAAACTTAAATGTTCACGCGGCTATTTATGCGCGAATAGCGCGATTTATCCGCGCGTTCCGCGTCTGGTGTGAACACAGCATCAGGCTGACACTTTTTAAGGAAACAGGAAAACCAAAATCCAGGTAGATGCCATAATTAGGTAGACTGTCAGCGGAGCAATCAGGGATGAGGCAGAGTGGGTTCAGACTAGAGAGGAATATATTTTTCTGCAAAAAGAGAAAAGTTTTGCCCCACTCTTAAGCAATATTTGTGTTAAATTTGAGCAAATACAAGTGTGACCTTTTTATATGAAACTGTGACATGCTTTGCTAGGCCATGCTTGATTGGTCAAAACGCTTCCACTAGGATAAATTTATCAATTGTCACATCAATTAAACTCTAGTGAAAAGGCATTTTTAACCCTTTGGTGCACTACATGGGTATAAAGTGACCGGTCTAAATTTATTTTTTCTGAATTATTTTATAGCTTGTGTGTTTGAATGGGTTTCAAAAAAGCTAAAAAACATGCAGTTGGTTTTTAAAAAACTTGAGTGTATTTGTGTGCCAGAATTTTTAAACCAGTTTGAATTTCATGCCGGTTTATATGAAACCAGATACTTCTTAACATGTGCCCACCACCAAGGAAATTGTGGACCCCGCCCTGCTCCTCACCACCATTTTTTTAATCAGACAGCAAAGTGGCTAACAATGGGATCATTCAATTCTCTTTGTTTTAATAATACTGGCATTCAGTCTGCTCCGTGTTCTGATGTAGAATTGCAGATTCAGAAGAGGCTAAAACGAAATGGATTAATTTATACAAGTAGGAAATATTGCAGAAGAAGTGGGGGGAAAGTTGCTTATGACCTCAGGCAATACGAAGCTTAACTTACATCAGAATTGTATTTAAGAGATGTAGGTGTATCTACAATTTGTCTGAAAGATACACATGATTTTTCATAATTTTGTCATTTAGAATTCTCTTCGATAAGTAACAATAAGTGACAACATTTTTCGCAAGTTTATAATGTAACAGGTTTGTTAATGCATTAATTATTACAATATAAGCACAATATTTTTCTTACATTATGAAAAATATATATATATTTCATCATTAAAAAAAGAGAAAAAATCAGTTTCATACCCACTGCACTACACTATTCATTATTAGTACACAATTCACACATATTGTGAGATGAAGTCCAGAGCAAAATAATTTGTTGCTGAATTACAGACACATCACTGATACTCACACGTTATAGAAAAGATCTTTGATGCGGTCCCATCCTGTGTCAGGAAACTCTGGCTTGCCTATGTGCTTTGGTAAGATCTGTGTAGAGGAATCAGATGCATATACAGAAGGAAGAGTGAAGCCAAGAAGAGCTCTGAGATGACCTGGCTGTGAGTCCCCAGGCTGTTTTACATCTGTCCCTCCACATTTAGGTGACAAATCCTGCCGCACTGCAGTACACATCAGTAAGCTGTTAAATAAAAGTAACGTTAACGTAAAACAAGGTCAGAGATATGAGAGTGTAACGTTAAGTATTTGTGCACTTTCACTCACGTGAATGGCCTGTGATTAAGTGGCATAAAATGCATTTTAATCTCTTTGGAAATACATTGTTTCTCACCACATTTACCAATTTAATCACCCACAGTAATTTGGGAATATACATTTTACTCCTTAGTAAAATGCTAAAATGAACCAACGGTAACCTTACATTTCCCGAATCTTGATAAACAGCGAGAAGTATGGCAATACATTCACAGCGAAATTAATCATCTGTGTTCTGAAAAGCTGTAAAAATATAAACAAATAAAAATAAAATTCTCACCGACTTAGATTACAGAGTCCTTTACCAACAATGCAATGTTGACATATCCACTTCCTTCTTCTTCTTCTTTTTCTTGTGGTTTAGCGGCTGATCGCAGACTAACAAGTGCATTACCGCCTCCTATCATTCAGATGGACCATTGACACTACACACATTCCTCCTGACTAACCTACCTACTTACCCTTGAATATACCAGTTACCCACTCAGTGACTTTTATTTGAGTGTCATTCGGCGCTGCGTGTTCAGCTCCTCCGTCCACCGTCAGTAGCTTTTGGTGCAAAAAACAAACAAACAACAAAAACAAACAAACAAACAAAAAAACATACAAACACTTCTACCTGAATTTAATAATTGTTTAATTGAAAACTGGTTTCCCTTATTATAACAGTATATTTCCAACAGTATAAATATCACAGAGCCCTGTTGGATGTTTACTTATTAAATACTTTGTACAATTCAACCTTTTGTGACAATCGTAACCTTGTGATTATGTTTTTCTCCATTTTGCTCTTTTCTGTTTTTCTTCTCTTACCCACTGTCGACTGAATTTGGTACAAGTGCATACCTTTAGTTTTAGTACTGCTGCCACACTTTTGTGATATTCTTTTTGATGATTGATTTAATTTCTAATCTAGTAAGGTTAATCTGATATCCACCTTTTATGGCTATGGCTTTTTTTGCTCAATTGTATGCCTCTTCGTTACCTCTTAATCCAATATGAGCAGGAACCCATAAAAACGTACATTTTATATTATTTTGCTTAAGTGAATATAATTCTTGAATAACTTATATTATCACATCTTGTCTTGTTTCTGACTTCTGCTCACTCAAATTTCTTAAAACAGAGCTTGAATGTAAACATATTATTGCATTAGGTATTTTGACCAACCCATTTTATAGGCATAATGCAAACATCTCACCAGTGTATACCGACAAACAGTCCGATACTCTATTATTCTTACTTACTTTTAACTAGGGTATTACAAATGCTGATGCCACTTGACTTCTTCAGTGAAAATGTGCAAATACTTTCCGTACTTCATTCCCATATATTCTCTCACATCATACACCTCAGTTTTATATGACCCTTCCTTTTGTCTTTTTTCTAATAAACTTAAAACCAACTTTGGGTTGAGGCATAACCCACATTGGGGATGACAGAATTAGTTTTTTTGTTGTTGTTGTTGTTGTTTACACACAATTACTTGCACTTCAGACACAATGACTAACGTGTAACACTCTGAACCAACTCTGCTAAACTACAAGAACAATTCCTGCTTTACACTCAAATTGCAGGTTTAAAACACTTTTTTTTTTTCAAAACACTATGAACAATTCTCTGCATTTGGCCCAATTTTCATGCAGAAAATCTTGTTTTCACAAGGAACACACTGTCATTCAAAATTGTAAAGTCAGTTGAACTACTTTGCATACTTACTCATCACATAGGTAAACACCTGTCACACATAATTGCAATTTAGAAATCAGAGCTCATCTGGCTCATAAACTGGTTCACTGCCCACCCACATTTTTTAGTTTTTTTATCTCCCTTCATATTCTCCATTTCTCAATCCTATTGAGGATTTCCTTTCTGCACTTTTTTTTTTTTTTTTACTGTAACTGTATTCTGTAAATACTTCTGCTGATTGTATATGTAGACCACATTATGTGCAACTTTGTGTTGGTTGGGAAGAACACTGTGTACACTGTTTTTGTGGGGAAAATGCAGTCAAATATATTTGGTACCATGTATTTGTGTGTTTTGTATAAAAAACAATATTCTGAAATATTTTACAATGCACTTATGTAGGCCTATTTACTGTCTGTAGTAAGTGTAACAGTGAACAAAAAAAGTCATACAGTAAGTCATTATAATGAATGGAGAAGAAAGGGTCATAGTGTTTTGCATTACAGTTTTCCCCAATTATTTACACACAATTACTTGTACTTCAGACACAATGACTAGAACAAGTAACTGATGCATCAACCCCCTGAACCAATTCTGCTAAACTAAAAGCACAATTCATACTTTACACTGAAATTGCAGGTTTAAAACACCTTTTTCAAAACACTGCACAATTCGCTGCATTTGGTAAAATTTTCATGCAGAAAATCTTGTTTTCACAAGGAACACACTCATTCAAAATTCAGTTGCCCTACTTAGCATACTAACTCATCACATAGTTAAAACCCTATTACACATAATTGCAATTTAGAAATCAGAGCTCATCTGGTTTATAACTGGTTCACTGCCCAACCATGTTTTTTAGTTGTTTATCTCCCTCCATATTCTCAATTTCTCAAACCAATTGAAGAATTTTTGCCTGCCTGCTGATGGAAAGTGTATGACTGAAATCCACACACACATATAACCCTTCCCCAAGCTATGTAGACCACATTATGTGCAACTTTGTGTCGGTTGATGAACACTGTGTACACTGTTTTTGTGGGAAAAATACAGTAAAATATTTTTGGTTTTTGTGTGTTTTGTATAAAAACAATATTCTGAAATATTTTACAATGCACTTCTGTAAGCCTACTGTCTGTAGTAAATGTAACACTGAACAAAAAAGTTTAAGTCATTATGATGAATGGAGAAGAAGTGGTCATAGTGTTTTACATTAACCATATCAGTGATCAAGTGGTTCTTGTAAATGTCTATTCATGTGATAGCTTGTGTGTGTCATTTGAAATCAAAATACCATTTTGAGAAGAAATCACATAGTTTTGAACATAGAATTTCATTTTGCAGAAAAATTTAAAGGTTTTGCCCAATGTGTGTGTTTTGTGATTTTTGTGTAAAGTTCTGACAATATGAGACATGCTTTCAGAAAATGTGTGTAAACAATTGGGAAAAACTGTATTACACTGCTTTGGTGTATCAATTTCTCCTTTGGAGGATATATTTCCACACCTTTCACTTATACTTCTCCCGATTAAAAACTCTTTAATCTAATTGTACATTCTTCCTTTTATAATTAAGTTTCATAATTTAATTAATAATTCTTCTTTCCACAACATGTCATAAACCTTTTCGATATCAAAGAAAACAACATAACAATCTCCTTATTTATGAGTACTTTTCTTATTTCATCTTCAAACAGTACTATTTGATTCAAAGTCCCTCTTCCACACCTAAATCCACTTAAGGAGAAAACCAGTTCTTTTTTCCCCCAAATGATATGTTTATCTATTAGTTATTCTTTCCATCACTTTACATATATTAGAGGTTAAAGATATTGGACGATAATTTGTCGGATTAGATGGATCTTTCCCAGGCTTTTATTAATTAATGCTTCCTTCCAACTTTGAGGAAGTATACCTTCTATCCATATTCTTTTGTAGAGTGCCAACAACACCTTCAGCTTTTACTGAAATGCTTAATCATATAATAACTTACTCCATCTATTCCTGGTGCAGACTGCCTCATTCTTCTCACTGCATATCGTAACTCACTCATAGAAAATGGTAGGTCTATATCAGTTGCTCTTTCCCTCATTAAATCTGGATAGTCCTTAAACACATTCTCCCTTATCTCCTTACTCTGTTCAGACAGATTTGAGCTATTTACTTTAATAAATGTTCTTAAAACATTTCTACTTTTTCTCCATCATCCACAGCTATCTCTCCCGCCATACTTAAAAACTGGGTATTGCTTATTTCCTTGGATCCCTTTCATCGTCTTAATCATCCCCCATATCTCCTCTATTGATGTATTTAGCCTATTTCATTACAATATGATTTCCAGTACATAACCTTGCCTTTCCTTACAGTAATCCTTACCTTTGCTTGTGCTTTTTTATAATTTATTATATTTACATATTTATGAGTGGTCCTGACTTTCCTTTTCTTTCCCATTGCATTTGTATAGTCCTCGTTCCACTATGGGACTATTTTGTTCTTTCTTCCTCCTACACTCTTTGGTATATACCTATTTGCTGCAGTTTGTATTGCTTATACTATTTATTTGTTAAACATCTCCACTGACCTGTCTGGTTCAATCTTAATTTTCCTAAATCTCTCTTCACACAAACTCATACATTCTTCCCAACTTGCTTTGTCATACCTCTAATTATGGGTTACTCCATTATCTATAGTATTTCTTCAAGCATTTAATTTTACTGTTATCAGTATAGGATAATGATCACTTCAAATAGTATATCGTCTCATTATTTCACATTCAGTGCTCCCTGCAATTGTGTCAGATACCATTGTCAGATCTAGCACAGACTCTTTACCAGTTGCCACATTTATCCTTCTGTTTCTCCTATCATTTAGACATACCAAATTTCTGCCCATCAACTCTTTCACTGTCAATCCATTCCAATCTGTCACTAACCCTGCCAATAGCGTACTCTATACATTAAAATCCCTACACCAAAATCACCCTCCCATCATTCTGAACCTCTATTTGCTGTAATTCATTCAACATAATTTTTTACATGGATTATAAAAGTTTATTATTACATAATTTAATCCATTTACCCGCTCTACTACCACCACATATTATTTTGTTATTCCTTTACCTAACATTCTATATTGTATGCCTTCCTTAAAGTTATACAACCTCCACCATTACCCTCTCCACGATCTCTTCTCTCACCAACATATCATTTTATAACAAAATCAAATCTGGGTTTAAGGGCGTACTCACACTATGTAAAGTTGCCTTGAGCCGGGCAAAAGCAAGCTTGTCACCCCTCCCATGTCCCCTAACGGCCCATACTCACATTACATTTGGGCCTGGGCACGCTTACATCATCGATGATGCGCTCATTAGTAAGCTCTCTCGCTCAGCACAGTAGAGATTTCTTTAGTTATATTGTTTTAGGCGTTTGGGATGCAGTGACACCACAGTCAAATATTTCGCCGAACAGATCAGTCACTTTTGACGCTCGTAAACAATCATAAAGACCTTGTGCTGCAGGAATTTTGAAGGTTTGATGAAGGTGCAGCTGTCGTACAGTAAGTGGTTTGCGTCTTTAATAAACTACGAAAGTTTGCGTTTATTTAACAGTAATAATGATTAATTAAATGCAATTGTGATTTTTTTTAAATATTATTTTTATTCACTGT